CCTAGTAGTAAAAAATCTAAAAAGTTTGTTTTTAGTACGTCTGTGGTGTGGTGGGAATCATTAATCACTTGAATTGCCGAACGGACTTTAATAAATCGTTTAAGAGTGAGTCCTTCAGATTCTTAAAAACAGTTATAGGGTAGGTACATCGCCCCTAAAATCCGTCTTGAAATGGAGCGTAAATATTGATGTATAATATCTAAAAGAATTATACTTTCAGGCGGATCCGAATGAGCAGCTTTGTAGTTCTGTAGCTCTATATTAAAGTTTCGAAATTGTCATAATGAGAAAATATTGTTCAAATCGGTTTAGAAGTTTGATTACAAAGTTTTAGGCGAATAGACAAATAAACGTTGGACGTAAGATTGCCAAAGTTTATGTTTCTCCCGACGATTAACAAAGTTTTATATTCCAATAAATCAACGAATAAAAGTGTTGCGTTTATAAGAGGGTGTTTGGAAACATACGTGTTGCGGTACAAAGTGTCAGGTAGCTTATGAATTATCCACCCAATGGTCTTGTACGCAAAATACGATCTCTAATGGTTCGTGGAAAATTGCTCACTGTGTTCGCTTAAAATTCGCGCATTCTGCTTTTTCCTTATCAACATCATTGTATTTGCATCCTTTGTTTTTGTCTGTTAGGGTATCTAAGACCCTTTTCTTATTCAATTTCGCGGTATATTTGTCTAACTGTCGATATTTATGTAACAGTTCCTTCCCTTTTTATCTTTATTGCTTTAAATTCAGTTATGTTTACTTAAATCCGATGAAAAAGCGAAACGTATACTTTGAGGTCAAGTTTTACGAGTTACTAAGTGTTTACGTTAGCAAGCCGCGGTTGTCGCTTTGAAGGAAGAGTATTTAAATTTCATTTAGTATTATCGTCGCTACCGTATGTACTTGTTGTGGCAGTAATAGCCACTGGCGGGAGTGAAGCCAGGCGCGTTAAACAAATAGATTGAACCACTTGCCCGGCCGAGTGCCTAATAAATCTGTTTTTTAAACAAACAGAAAGAAGCTATAGACGATTATTTTTGCTTCTTTAGGTGATTGAGGTTGAATAATGATACTTTTCATGTATTGTTCATTGTACTATCTATATATTGACCTTTGTTTTATGGTTAGACTCACAATGTATACTTACAAGAGTAAGAGTCGTTTTGGAAATTCCAAGTTCTTTTTTCTCTACACAAGAATAGCTATGGCGTTGTGGCAATGTTAGCTATACAGCATTATCCGTACGCACATTTGAGTATGGCCACTCGCTGCGGCTATTTTAGTACAATTAGTCGAAATAAAAGCTTTTCTGATTGCGGGTGTGCTCCGTAATAGGGCTACTTGACAAGATTGGCGTAAAATGGAGAGAAAAGTACAAGATGGAGGTACCTACATTAGAGAAATAAATACTAAATAAGGTCTTCCGAGGCAGAACTATGTTCAACATACAACTACTGAAAATTGATAAATACAAAATTCATGATACGTTCATTAATTAACCAAAATAATTCATAATGGTTTCCATTAACAATGAAAACAAAATAGTCGGCATTATTAACGTAAGAGTTGATTAACCAAGTGTTCACTTTGTAGTATCAATACTGATGTTTATTGAGAGCTGAAGAGACCAAACAACAGGGAATGATGAAGGACAGTCCTTATATTTGTAGTACTAGTTATTGTGTTATGCAATTTTTATTATTTAATTCATCAAAGCAAGCAAACTTGGCGTTCGCGCTCCTATTGTTTTTCTATTGTTTCCCGAACTATCACGCTTGAAAGTTTATAATTATATACCAACAAATTAATAAACTGACGAAAGCCCTAGGTTATTTCAAGCCCCCTTTAACAGAGAGATCGGTAGTTCAGTAGTGGGCTGCCACGGGTTGTTAAGGATTATATAATTTAAAGTACTAAAATGAGAAGAGAAAAAACAGGAGATACATTACACTCACTCTAAATAACTTGGTATAAAACGGGAGTAGGAAGGAACATATTGTTTAAGATTGTTAAATTGTATTTTAAACTAAAGAATTAATAAGGCAATAACCATATATATATACTCGTATTACTTGCAAACACGAAGTATATTATTATTAAATCTTGCATTTATAATAGACTTGTTTTAAATTTTTCTTTATTGATTGACTTTATTGAATTTTCCGTTAGGAAATCAGAATAATCCAATCTACTTAGGGCTAATTTTTCAATAGTCAGATAAATGCTATGTGAGGAATAAAATTGTTGCTGTCACTGTCTTATACAAACATTCTTATGCGACAACATGATAATTATTCCCCAGATAACTTTTATCTAACCATCGAAAAATCATATTGATTGAAAATTATATTATTAAATTGATATTTTTGATTAAATCACATTGACAGTTCATGGTTGGTGTAGGGACTTACAAACATATTACTATAATCCTCTGGGCCCATACAATTGAAAAAGATAAAGAAAACATTCTTATAGTCCAGAAGAAGTTACGCAGTTTTTATTATTATGCATAACAAGATTTGTTTAGGAATTTACACGACACTTTTCGAAACCACTTCTTCCGAGATTAAGTATAGGGTTTTCCTCATTCTTAAATATATAACCCTCAGGAGAACTGTTTTTTCATAGCCTGAAAGCAACTTTATATTTGTTAAATGGCGTAGTGAGTAGTGTAGTAAAAGTAGTGAGTTTTCTCGCTGTCTACATAACCACACATAATAACAAAAATAACAAAACCGTATTAAAATCAGATCATCCGTTTGAGAGCTACGATGCCACAATAGACAACGACTTCAATCGTCAAACTTATAGCACCACGTCGTTTTTGCGTTAGGAGTTTAAAATTCACTAATTTTAGTATGCAAATGATCCTCACATTCAGTTCACAAAGAAAACAGATCGAAATCCATTGTAATTCAATCGATTCTATATTTTATTCCATTTGCATTAAAGATCATTTATCATTCCATTTATCATTTCCTTCTAAACTCACAAATACATCTTCGTTTTAAATGGACCATTTGGTTTACCAATCGCTTTTAGCAATATCTATTAAATAAACTTTGGATCTTGAATAGCTTGATTTATTTTTAAAGAGGTTAAGAGCACTGCTTTTTGGTTGGATAAATAGGAAATATCTTTTATTTTTCCTAATGTTTGAACTATACAACATTCGAATTTAGATTTCTATTTAATTGACAGTTATTTGACTGGTTAGATGGTTTAGTAAGATAGACGATTGAATAGGCGAATTACAGCGCTTTAGTTTTATTTTTAGAAATATTAATCTATACTTATAATAAATCTGTAGAGTGGTCAATTCTGTACATGAAATATATTTTCAAAATAACTACGAGAGTGTGGTTAGTGATCGATACTGATGCCAAAAATGCAATCAGTAAAATTTTTGTCTGTATATCTGTCTGTCTGTACAAATGAGACGATTAATAACAAATTTTATGTATATTTCAATTTTGTTCTATTGCTATTAGCTGCTTTTTATCAACACAGCACGCGGGCGAAGCCGCAGGCGGAAGTTAGTAAATAATAAGGCAAAATAATTTTGTTTAAGATTCTTGAATTCATATCTTGATTAATTCCATCGGTCAACCACCATCTCAAAATAGGCAACATTTTAAAAATATTTTGTGAATAAACGTATTCTATTTAAGGCGGGAATTGCGCTTGCACGCCTATGTCAGCCCAATGATAATGAATTTGCGGACTTGTACAGACAGACTGGCTCTAATATGGATATAATGCTGCCATTAATCTATTTGACACGCTTGTGTTCTGTGTAGGTGCATGATGAGTCATCTGTGGTAATAATTCGTGTAACCTTAGTTGTAAAGCTGTTGCTGTTTTTACGCCGAGGCTAAAGATTTGTATCACTTATTTCTTTCTTCGTCTGAAAAGTATTTATTGCTATGCAATATCTATTAATTGTTACTGCACAGTTGGCGCGGGGGCTGAACTGGCTGTCGTGTGTAACGTGTCGCGCGTTCGTTTCCCGCACCCAACAACTCTTTCTGTGATCCGCAAATTGTGGTCCCTGGTCTGGGTGAAATGTGCGTGACATTGTATGTTTGTAAATACACCCACGACATAGGAGAAAATTCTAGTGCAAGACAATGTTTTTTTGAAATCTAAAAACAAAACTAAATTAGTATTTGTCTAGTTTGTTACCATCTATAGAGATTAAATGACAGTGACTTGGATATACATTACATTTCATTTGCTATTCACCAATATTGTAGACAGCAGCTATCAAAATACTATTAACTTTTTACATAATTATTTAAAAGAAATCTTATCACCGTGATTTCAGAACTCCTAATTAAAAATATCAATTTTACTTTTACTCCAGTTTCCTCTTTTCGTTGTTTCAGGAAGTTTTGATAGGGGTTTGATAAAAAAATCAATGATACCTAAATTGCTCGGGAATGGTAACTTAAGGTACTTAACAATGATTGGGCAGTGTAGTTCGGGAAGTAAACGAGTACCGAATAAAAAGAACGCGCACTTTGTTCTAAGCGGTTGAAAGCATTAGGTCAGAAACGTTTGTTACGTAAATAGTAAGAAAAAAATATGCTTGCATACTCTTAAATCTTTTACAATTTTATCAAAATTCATTACCATTAAGAATGAATTTTTAAGACAAGTTTACTTGTCTTAAAAATTCATTCTTAAGGTTGTCTGTCCCAAAATATATTTATTTTTCTAATAATGTCCGTTGGCTTGTAAACTATTTTGACAAGTGGATATTCGTGAAAAAAACATAATGTTTATGAGATAGGTTGGCAAACAACTACAATATGTCAGTGGTGTCTAAATAATCATAAAAAGTTATATACTTTATATGACTCGAAAAAAGTTGCATTAGTTCAAAACCTGGCAAGTTCCAGGTTTCGGACCCTCTCTCTCATGCATGAGAAGCGGGCGACTTGACATCCCTTCACCACGATGTTATAAGAATAGATAAGAGTTATATAGTTTACATACGTCTTGTAAGCGTAGCGCTTCGGGTCGAACCCGATGATGAATTGGGGGCACGGCTGGTACGCAGTGGTTGCAGCGGGGGTCTCGTCCCAGCAGGCAAACCCGTCGAACGTCCGTGGGCACCATAGATCACTATCTGTTCCAATAAAAAATATTTATTTTTTATATCGTCACCGGTAAAGAAGAAGATGGTTTCGTTGATCTAGTGGCTTTAACAGCCTTTACTGTACTGTATGCTTTTATTCATATAATTTTTTTCATGTTATTCAAGTAAGTGAAGAAACGGTTTAATTAATATTCGGGATAATTCAGTAATTGTACTTGTAAAATCAGGTGAAGCATCTTTTGTTTTAATTTTAAGGTATAGGTACTAGCTTAATAACTTTCTAGGTATCATATTGTCAATGTGGTGTTTCTTAATCAGTAAATATCTTTCACAAACTTCTCGCCCACCAAGGGCGTGAGAAGTTAAATGACGATTCATAGTAATTTATTACAAATTATAGATAACATTTAATAATACACTACAATCACTCACAATATGTTTCCTAGAAAATTATTACCTACAACCTCATTATGAAACTCTGTTAAACTAAATATTGAAACTCAAAAACATCAAAAGAAAAATATCAAATGCGTCATGCACATGACAAAATTACAAATATTCAGAACACAATCAAAGTCGTAGCTGAATCAGTTTCTTTATTTAAATATAAGTATATTGCTGAATAAATAAAGAAATAGAGAACAAAACCATAATATTTCGTAACCTTTTAGAACGTGTTTGTGCATAACTTTACGCAGACAACAATTACAAGAAAAGTCGGTCAAATTAAATGTTTTTTTTTTCAAAGAAGTAGCCATCTTCGGGATTAGCTAGATCCACTTTTGTTGATATACAAATCTAAACATATTTTACAAGAAGTGTTGTAAACTTCCTTTGTTATTATTAACCTTTTACTAAACCACTAATTGATGATATTTTGTAACAATAAACAATTTAAAAATTTAAAAAATGTGTTTCTATTGACAAGAGATTTTGGCATTGTTTGGTACCAAATGAGAGCAAGTAAACGTTGAAACTTGATAAAACATAGATAAATGTTTGAACGCAATACGAAAGTATATGAAAAGAAAAGAAAAATGGACTTAATTGACGACTGACCACATCAACACAAATGACAAAAGGAATACAGGTACTAAGTATAGAGATAATATTGATGTAGCATATAATAAAGTCATAGATGCACTTGTCACTTACCTAGGTTCTCTTCGCTGAGAATGGTACTATGTGTAGTGTTTTCACGATAGCATTTTCTTCGCATGTTAGCAAACCACTGGTACTTCGGGTCGTTTCTGTAGTCGGTTTTGCCCGTAGAGTTCTGCATTGTTGACGTTCAAGTGGACATATTTAATGACTATCGACCATGTTATTTTGAAATATTTGCACGCCTACGTAAGTGATATTTGAATGTAGATACACATTTTTATGTTCTCATCAACGGCAACATCTGAAACAAAAGATAAAGATAAATTCGTTTATCTTAGTTCACAGCCTTTACACTGATCGCTATTGATATATGTGGAAAGATAAAATCTTTGTTTTCAGGGTCCCACGGCGGCAAGAAAAAACGTTTTACATTCTCGTCACGTCCGTCAGCTGGCTTCTTCAGACATATAGTTTTTATGTAAGTGGCGTTTCTTGTTGGATTGATGTGAAAATGAAATGTTTATACAAACACAACATGTGTTATACTTTTGATAGAATTTCGATTAAAATTATCTTTGAACAGACACGAACTGCTGTAATACATATATACTATTTTATATACAAATCATGTGTGTCAAATTTCATAATAATATTTGTGCTGTTTGTTATGTACGGGATCCGTGATACTCGATAGCGTGCACTTGACACATTTTTATCTTCAAACAACAAATGTACTTAGATAAAAATATCTAATGTTAATGGCAGACGTAGTCATGTTTCAAATTTAGTAAATAATAATGTGTTAATTAATATTTGATGTGTTACATACAGAGTTATTAAATAATTAGTTGAATATAAATATTCCTCAAGTATAAGAGTATGACGGTAATAGTTTGACAAAAGTCTGATTTCTGACTATTCGGAATATGTATGAGTTTTTGATGTCTGTCTATAAAACACACGCTTGTGGAAATTCTTGTGTATTGTTTGATTTTTCTTTGAGACCACAGTCTTACTTGAGCTGGTTTGTGGATAAGAATCACTCATCGTAGGTACTCGTAGTACATATGCAAATGCTAATTTCAAACTTTGACTTTACGATGTAGATAAAATATTTATGTATAATTTGAATGCAAATAAGCAGCCAAAAGTTATTAAATTATTGTATTGTACTATAAAATTCTTTTACGATCAATTTAAATCCATTCGTAATGTCGGTAACTGTAGCAAAACTAGAGATGTGGCTTGCGCTATTTCATTTATTTTTTACTAGCTTCCGCCTGCGGTTTCACCCACAGGATATGTAAAGTAGCTTATATTCTATTCCGGAGTGTATCCTATTCCTGTGCCAAATTTCATCCAGACCTGTCCAGCCGTTTTAGCGTGATTGAGTAACAAACATCCAAACATTTACTTTCGCATTTATGATATTAGTAATTAGTAATATATCTACATTAAAATTAGATGTCAGGGCGTATGTTTCGACTAAAAAACTTGAGGTTTAAGAGCAAAATGTGAGATACTGTGTCGAAACAAATCCAGATTCGATCTCACTGCTTCGTACTTCCCAATTGGATATGCTGTTGATTTCCTATCATACTGGTCTTTGTCACACATCAGACGAATAATTGAATATATATTATATATTATCATCGGTAATCTTAAACACGTTTACTGGAACGTATCACGTTAAAGTTTACTTTCAATTAGTTGGATACGAGTGATTCATCCCAGAAGCAAGAATTATGGCGAACTAGGGTTAATAACAAATACGAATAGCGCGTTGTACGCGTAATGATAGGTTTATTGCCCAGGTGTTACTTTTATGTGGTATTGAAAAATAATTGTAAAAGTAAGAACAATTATAATGTAACAACGCTGAGGAGATTTTAATGCAAAGTGTATTCGTGTATTAGTTTAGAATAATCGGTGATCATCATCATCATCATCATCAGCCCATAACTGTCCACTGCTGAATAAAGGCCTCTTCTCACAAGGAGAAGGTTTGAGCATTAATCACCACGCTTGCTCAATGCGGGTTGGCGATTTCAAACTTATAATTAGAAATTATAAGTCCAGGTTTCCTCACGATGTTTACCTTCACCGTATGTCAGTGGTGTCTAAATAATCATAGAAAGTACATATAACTCGGAAAAAGTCACATTGGTAGTTGCCAGTTGCCAGGTTTGGAACCCACACTCTCATGCTTGAGAAGCGGGCGCCGTAACCTCGGGGCCACCATAATCGATGATAATATAGCTTTTTGCGACCAGCACAGTCATTCATCATCAGCCAGTCATCATACACGATCAGCCTATAAGAGTCGGAGGAAGACTAAGAGTGTTTAATTAACCTCAGAAAGTACACATAACTCGGGTAAAGGCTGGGTTTCGAACCCTCACCGGCGCACCGCACCCTCGTGCATGCCTTAATCTCCAAGCAACCACGAAGTTCCTTGATTAGCCTTCAAAACTAACTTTTTAATGGATTTCGTTACTAAATTTTCACCATACCATAAGATATGTAGGTTGGTAGCGCACAACCCGAATGACGAAATGACGATTGATTAATGGGTCCGTCGATTACCGATATTGATAGAAGTAGATTACATGATAAATTATAGCAAGCACTATGGATTAAATTGATAGTACCTATTTTTTAATATTCTTAAAGCTTTTTAGTAACACGCGCTTTTGCTGCGTGCTGTTGCACTATTAAAATACAAGTCTTACCAGACTTGCATTTTAATAGTGCGAGTTTCGTCTGCCTTTCAAATTTGCTTAACCATGACCTTAATAGGCAAATGATAGTTTGCTCGATCCGGAAATCGAAACCGAGAACCCTTGCGGTCACTTCACAGACGAGACAGTGATTGCTTTTAGTCCTTACAATATTAACGGTATGAGGACAATATGTAAAAAAAATTATTATTAAAAAAACAAAATACCCGACTGCACACTAAAAAAAGAGTAAAACAAGCCCCACAATACAAATTTACTGAATATAATTTATAAATGTTGATGGAAAGCATCGCAGGCGGGGACCAACAGAGGCTTATTTATAGTCATTTCTGTTGTGCACCATTTAGCAGAATTTTCGTTGGTGGCGGTCAAGGTGGTCCCCGCCTGCGATGCTTTCCATCAACATTTATAAATTATATTCAGTAAATTTGTATTGTGGGGCTTGTTTTACTCTTTTTTTAGTGTGCAGTCGGGTATTTTGTTTTTTTAATAATAATTTTTTTATTTATAACTTTTTAGCTGTTTTTATTTAACGTTACTCCCGTGATTGAAATGAATCTAATGATACCGCATACATATTTTTTTAAAGGGAAATTTAGAAAAAATATTATTATGTCTTTATCCCGTGGGACTTTTAGGATAAAATGTATCCTATGACACTCCCGTAATCAAGACAAATCTAACGATACCTCATACATCAAAATCCATCAAGCCGTTTAGGCTACAGGAGGTCACAAAGGAAAAGACATACATACATACTTACATACACTCGAAAAACATTACCCTCCTTCTTTGGCAGTCGGGTAAATATAGATACTAACGAAGTAACAAAAACAAAAGCGGTAAGAAAAGTAAATTTAGTTCTAATTTTAAAATAGTTCAAGAACCATTGTGCATGATGAATTTTATTGTAAACGAAAAATAAGGTTTTAATCAGTTTTTCATGCCTACAGGTGGTAATGGTAGGTATAGCTAGGTTTTGTGGGGCTGGTAAAAACAAAGTACAGTTATTTATGGGACCGCTGGTCCGTGTCATGTTTTATCTTTGAATTTCTTTATGTATTAATGCTTGTACATTATTACGTTGCACAAAACTAAAAATATATAGACTCATATGCGAATTACTTATCACTTATAGTTAAATTTAGTAAATGAACGAACAAACAATATATTTATTTGTTTAGACGAACACCCTAATTCCTCATAATAAACAGCAATTTAACGAATTATTGAACATGATGTAAATTATGAGTTGCTTTATGTGGGATTAAAATTGCATTTTTTAACTTTTCAATCGTGGTGATGTGAGACAATAGGTTCGACAACGCCGGCGTGGCGTTCGCATGGTGTTTGATGGATGAATGTTATGGTAAGCGGCGGAAAACGAGCTCATGCATCATCTGATAGTTAAAAACGCCGCCTATGGACAATACTGTAGTTGTATAAAGTATTATCGAGTAGGGACATATTTTTTTAGAACATATTTAGGTACGTGGTATCTTGAGAGTGTTTTGCGTAAGAATTAAAATTTATTTTGCAACTTGCATAGCGATAACATAACAAATTTTCTTTATTATGTTAACTTTTGATTAAATTTATTATATATTCTTTCAAAATGAGTAAAAACAATTCTCTGTAAGCTCACGTGGTTTGAAAGTAAGTAAGAAAATTATGCCTTTAATATTTCATAGCTAATCCGAGCAATTAATCATGGCGACCGCGACACGACGGTAAGATGTGAACATAATATTTCGGAATCCGTATGTATTGCGGGCACGTAAAATTTATTTGTGTTTTGCAAAGAACATTGTTTCCGTGCACGTTCATTTGTTAGCTGTTTTTGCGATTTATACTGACTATATATGTATACATGAATATTTCACTAAATAAAAAATGTTATTTAGCAGCGTGTTTTTTCAGGAGCAACATCAAAAAATGGCTTCCCTCGCTCAGGGTACAAGACGGAGTGTCAGACTGACAAAAAAAGCCACTCTGTTCCTTTTCTCTCTTGCTTTCGGCTGGGACCTTGGTATATTGTCCTCGCATCCGCAACCCTGGTTTCCTTAATAATTATGCCTAATATGCTATTTACTTCTCTGGGGCTAGCTCTAAGGCATGTCTGTCATCATAATATGCTTCTGTGTCATCGAACATACTACTCTGTCAAGAAAATACCGGGAAAAAGTCAGTAATACACAAAATGTTTGTTATTCATCTAAATTTATTTTATCACCTTCAAAGTATGCTCCTTCAGAAACGATACACTTACGCCAACGAATAATCCAATCATCGAAACTTTTTTTAAACGCTGTTTCCGGAATTGAGTTCAGTGCTCGCCGCGAATTCTCCTTTATGTCTTCTAACGATTGAAAACGGGTGCCACGAAGGGGTAATTTGAGTGTGGGAAAAAGAAAGAAGTCGGCTGGAGCCATATCTGGTGAATATGGTGGCTGCTCGATGGTGTTTGTTGAGTGTTTGGACAAAAAATCGTTTACAATGATGGCCTTGTGCGAAGGCGCATTATCGTGATGCAAAATCCAAGAATTTTCTTTCCACATTT